GCCGGGGTCGGACCTTTACACACTGACCACTGAGTCCCCTCAGGTAGCTGCGTCCGCGTCTGCGTCTGCGTCAGGTCAGCTGTCCGCCCCCTGCTCGTGTCGCTCTCTGGCGCATGAGACTGTCCTTTGGCACCACCGCCTTGGTCACCCGTCTGTGCAGCGCCTTCGGGCTATGCACAAACGGGACCTTGTTGCTGGTCTTCCCAGGGTACTCCCTCCCCTTCCAGACTCGCCTGCTCCTCCCTGTATTCCCTGTGTCGAGGGGCGGCAGCGCGCCGCTCCTCACTCCTCCTCCTTTCCCCCGACGACTGCTCCCTTGCAGACGCTCCACTTGGACGTGTGGGGCCCAGCCCGCGTCCGTGGCCAGGGTCAGGAGAGGTACTTCTTGATTGTTGTTGACGACTTCTTGCGCTTCACCACGGTCTTCCCCTTGCGCGCCAAGGGTGACGTCCCTGATGTATTGATCTCGTGGATCCGCAGATCTCGTCTCCAGCTCAGTGAGCGTTTCCGCTCCGACTTCCCTGTCCTGCGTCTGCACTCTGACAGAGGTGGGGAGTTTTCCTCTGGCCTCTTGGAGGCCTTCTGTCAGCAGGAGGGCATTGAGCAGTCGTACACGCTTCCGGCCTCTCCACAGCAGAATGGGGTTGCTGAGCGCCGCATTGGTCTGGTCATGGAGGTCGCTCGTACCTCCTTGAGCCATGCGGCTGCCCCCCATTTTCTGTGGCCGTTTGCAGTCCGATACGCTGCGCATCAGCTCAACCTCTGGCCCCGTGTCTCCTTGCCCGAGACTTCTCCGACACTGCGTTGGACGGGAGAGGCTGGCGATGCGTCGCGTTTTCGGGTCTGGGGATCCCGAGCTTTTGTCCGCGACACGTCCACGGACAAGCTCTCCCGTCGCGCTGTCCCCTGCGTCTTCCTTGGCTTTGTCCTGGACGCCCCTGGCTGGCAGTTCTACCACCCCACCTCGCGTCGTGTCCTGGCCTCTCAGGACGTCACTTTTGACGAGTCCGTCCCCTACTACCGCCTCTTCCCCTACCGCACTGCCCCGCTCCCCCCCCCACCTCTCTTCCTCGCTCCAGGTGCTGAGGTACCAGACCCCCTCCCCCCTCAGGGTGCCGCTCCCTCAGGTGTGTCCCAGGTAGACCCAGGTGAGCCTGTCGAGGTAGCTGTTGACTCTCGTCCTGCTAGGGGTGCTGAGCCTGGGGGTGCTGCGTCTGGGGGTGCTGAGCCTGGGAGTGCTGAGTCTGGGGGTGCGGAGCCTGGAGGTGCGGAGCCTGGAGGTGCTGAGCCTGGGGGTGCTGAGTCTGGGGGTGCTGAGTCCGGGGGTGCTGAGCCTGAGCGTGCTACACCTGGAGGAGCCCTCTCCTCCCAGCAGCTGCAGGAGAGGTACCTCGAGTACTGCCGCCTCCGGCGAGGTGCTCCTGGAGCTCGTCCCGGTACTTCCCCTCCTACCCGGGAGCTCCCCCCCATTCAGCAGATCCGCGAGTGGTACACACGGCGCTGCAGTCTTCGGAGTGGTGCTCCTGGTGCTGCGGACCCTGGGGGTGGCGCTGCTGCTGGTACTGAGGACCCGGACGTTGGAGCTGCTGCTGGTGCTGAGGACTCGGACGTTGGAGCTGCTGCTGGAGCTGAGGACCCGGGCGGTGGCGCTGCTGCTGGTGCTGAGGACCCGGGCGGTGGAGCTGCTGCTGGTGCTGAGGACTCGGACGCTGGAGCTGCTGCTGGTGCTGAGGACCCGAGCGGTGGCGCTGCTGCTGCTGCTGAGGACCCGGGCGTTGGAGCTACTGCTGGTGCTGAGGACCCGAGCGGTGGAGCTGCTGCTGGTGCTGTGGACCCGGACGCTGGAGCTCCTACTGGTACTGAGGACCCGGCCACTGGAGTCTCTTCTGCTTCTGGAGACGCTGCGCGGCCGCGACCGTACTTCGTACCGCTCCTTCAGCAGGTTCTTGGGCAGGCTCCTCCTCCTTGTCCTCCTCCCTCCGTAGAGTGTCCTCCGCCTGTCCAGCCGCAGTCATTGTTGCCGCCTACCTCGCCTCTCCCTGCTCCCTCTCCTTACACTGGTCCCACAGGAGGTCTTACAGAGCGTCGTGGGCCTGAGTCTCGTCCTGCGTCGCCTGTTCGTCCTGCTCGCACTGGTAGTCGTGTCCGTCGTGAGCGTCCTCCTCCTGTCCCAGGCACTCACTACATGACTCTGCGTCCCTCTACTGCTCCTCAGCGTGTCCCTCTACCGTCTCCTCCTGCGTCCTCTTTGCCTGACGTTCCGGCCCCTGAGTCTGACCGGTATCGTGCTGAGCACCCTACTGTCACGCGTCTCCTCGCTACTGTTGTCACTGACCCTACCTTTGAGTCCTCGGCTGCGTCTGCTCTGGTCGCTGAGCTGGTTGACTTTGCTGCTACCTGTCGTCTAGACTACGCTGCTAGCCTTGTTGCTGAGTCTGTCTGTCCTCCGTCCGTCGGGGGTGAGTGTGCTCTTGGCACGGACGTCCTTGAGGACAGACAGGAGGAGTTCCAGTGTCTTGCTGCTGCTTTGCCCCGTCTCGTGTCCTTGCTAGTTGCCCCTGAGGGAGACCCGGATGTACCAGACATCCCGACCCCGCGCACTTACGCTGAGGCAATGGCGGGTCCCTACTCCTCTCAGTGGCAGACAGCCATGGACGCCGAGATGGCTTCCTGGAAGTCCACACGCACCTACGTCGACGAGGTTCCCCCTCCTGGGGCGAACATCGTCAGTGGCATGTGGATTTTCAGGGTGAAGCGGCCGCCGGGTTCTCCGCCTGTCTTCAAGGCGCGTTACGTGGCTCGAGGCTTCAGTCAGCGAGAGGGAGTTGACTTCTTCCAGACCTTCTCCCCCACCCCGAAGATGACTACTCTTCGGGTGCTGCTGCACATAGCCGCTCACCGCGACTACGAGCTTCACTCACTTGACTTCAGCACTGCTTTCTTGCAGGGCAGCCTGCACGAGGAGATCTGGCTGCGTCGCCCACCTGGCTTCACTGGGTCGTTTCCTCCTGGTACCCAGTGGAGGCTTCAGCGGCCGGTCTACGGTCTCCGCCAGGCTCCGCGTGAGTGGCACGACACACTGAGGACGACACTTGCGGCTCTTGGGTTCGCGCCTTCTACAGCTGACCCGTCGCTGTTCTTGCGCACCGACACTTCGCTGCCGCCGTTCTACATCCTCGTGTACGTCGATGACTTGGTCTTTGCCACTGCTGACACTGCAGGACTCGCCTACGTGAAGTCGGAGCTGCAGAGGAGACACACGTGCACAGACCTGGGTGAGCTGACAAGCTATCTTGGCTTGCGGATCACCCGGGACAGAGCACGGCGCACCATCACTCTGACTCAGTCACACATGGTGCAGCAGGTTCTCCAGCGCTTCCGCTTCACGTACTCCTCGCCTCAGTCCACTCCTCTGCCTACCGGTCACTCGCTCTCAGCTCTGCCTTCGGATGAGTCCGTAGAGCCGAGTGGCCCGTATCCAGAGCTTGTGGGCTGCCTCATGTACCTGATGACCTGCACTCGACCTGACCTTGCATACCCTCTTAGCATCCTTGCACGCTATGTCGCTCCTGGCCGTCACAGGAAGGAGCACATGGATGCTGCTAAGAGGGTGTTGCGCTACTTGTGCAGTACGTCGGGCATGGGGCTTGTGCTTGGAGGGCGAGACCGAGTTGTTCTCACAGGACACTCAGACGCTTCTTGGGCAGACGACCAGGCCACTCAGCGGTCGTCTCAGGGTTACACCTTCAGCCTTGGCTCTGGCTCAGTTTCTTGGCGCTCTACGCGCTCTTCTTCTGTTCTCGGCTCCAGTTGCGAGGCTGAGATCTACGCTACAGCCATGGCTGCCCAGGAGCTACGCTGGCTGACCTACCTGCTGACCGACCTCGGAGAGCGGCCTCGTTCTCCTCCAGTACTGTACGTCGACAACAAGGCTGCCATTGCCTTGTGTGAGGAGCACAGACTGGAGCACAAAACGAAGCACATCGCCCTGCGGTACTTCCTTGCTCGTGAGCTGCAGCAGCGCGGTCAGCTTTGTATTCGCTACGTGGCCACTGAGGCCAACACTGCTGATGTGTTCACCAAGGTGCTTCAGCCTTGTGACCATCAGCGCTTCTGCACTCTACTAGGCCTTGTGCCTACTGGACCTCACTTACTTACCTCTTGACTTTGCTTGTACTGTGATCACTATATATATCTATACCTGCATGTTTACTCTTGCTAGGTTGTGATCACTGTATCTCTTGCTCTGTTATAAACCTGCATGTGAACTGGTCTTGTGACCACTAGCTTGTGCTCGGAATTTGTGTGGAATCCTTGAGATCCACCCTGAGCTTGTTGTTGTCTTGCTTTGCCTTGACTGGTCTTGTGACCCCTAGGTCTCCCCCACTTTGCCTATGGGGGTGTGTCAAACATTATACATGTTGTATTTGTGTAGGCTGTAGTGGGTTAGCCTATAGGGGGGTCACAACATTAGGGTTTCATATTTGTACTCACAATCCTTGCTAGTTCATCATTCCAGTCCGTTCTCGTTGACAGGCGCAAAGCAGTTTCCTGTTTCAGGGTCGAACGCGACACAACACTGACTCATCAGTGTCCGAAATCGCAAAACACTGAAAAAACAGTGTTGGAATAAAAAGACACTGAAAATTCAATGTCATTAAAAATAAAAGGATGAACTATTAAGGTCACTTAAAAACAACACCCCAAAACATCAGGAAATCAGGGTAAAAATCATGACTTCCGAGGCCCTTGTGAGAACGGTGATTCTGTCCAGGGGAACCCAGTTGTCTTCAGTGGTTGTGCGGTCTTTCCAGCGAATCAGAAATTCGATCCTGCGAGCTCCCCGTGGATCACGAACTCGGTGGCTCAAGATTTTTTCGGTCGTGATGATTGGCTCTATTGGCGGTCGTGTTATGCTGGCTGGGCAGTTGCGAGGCAGCTGGCTGATGGATGGTACGTATGGATGAAGCAGGCTGATGTGGAATAACGGGCTGACGTAGTCAACAGGGAGGAGGAGGAGATGGGTGGTGATGGGATTGATCATGTGGCTGATGCGAAATGGGCTCAGAATATGGAGGGCGAAGATCTGGGGTGACGGGCAGGCGGAGGTTCTGGGTGTCGAGTAGGACGAGGTCGTCGGGCTGGTAAGTGACGGGTTGACGGTGACAGTCGGCGTTCCGTTTAGCGATAATGTTGTCGTTGTTGTTGTTGTTGTTGTTGTTGTTGTTGTTGTTGTTGTTGTTGTTGTTGTTGTTGTTGTTGTTGTTGTTGTTGTTGTTGTTGTTGTTGTTGTTGTTGTTGTTGTTGTTGTTGTTGTTGTTGGGTTTTTTTTTTTTTTTTTTTTTTTTTTTCATCTGCTGCTCTGGTCCGTGCTGCCTGTAAAATCTCTTCAAACTGTTGCGCTCGTGGCACCGGGTTGTCGGGATTCGGGGTCATGGGTACTGTGGGGTCTTGTCCGTAGTTCAAGTAGAATGGTGACTGTTGGGTCGTGGCGGATGGCGAGTTGTTGTATGCGAATTCGATGAGTGGCAGTTGCTATTCCCACGTAGCCCGGTCGTCGCACGTGGCTCGGATGAGCTGTTCCATGGAAATGTTTGTCCGTTATGTCTGTCCGTCAGTTTCGAGGCGATACGAGGAACAGAATTGTAGTCGCGTGCCGAACTGCTGCCACAGGTTCCGCCAGAAGTTGCTGGTGAATTTCGTGTCGCGGTCGCTAATGCTTGCTGCTGGTATCCCGTGCAGTCGTACGACGGTGGCGATGAAGAGCCGAGCTGTTTCTTCGGCCGACATTGATTTCTTGCATGCTGCGAAGTGTGCCATTTCTTCAGTCGATCGACAACAACCAGGATCGCGTCGTTCCCACTCGCCTTAGTTGGTAACCGCGTGACGAAGTCCATCCTCACCTGCTGCCTAGCACGCTCTGGGGGTGGTATCGGCTGCAACTGCCCTGCCGGCCGCTTCCGTGATGACTTCATGATTTGGCGGGTGGGACACGATGCCACGTGTCGCTGTACGTCGGTCAACATTTCGGGCCAGTAATAGTAAATTCAACTCGAGGAAGTCAAGCTAGCGAACCTGTCGTGGGTTGAGGTGGGGCTGTGCGCGGGGGTATTGTATTGATTTGTGATCTGTCCGAACTATCACGTCTGTGCTGGTCAAGTAGCAACGCCATATCTTGACATTTGCATGATCGCGAGCATTTTGGGGTTGTGTATCTGGTTTATTTTCTCAGGTGGATGCAGTTTTCGTGACTCGTACGCGATGGGCTATAGGCAGTTGCCGAAATCTTGTAATAGTACGGCTCCGATGGCGATGTCGCTTGCGCATGTAACTACCTCGAATGAGCGGTATGGGTCGGCAATGCGTAGTACGGGCGATGAACGGAGAACAGTTTTTAGGGAAGAAAAGGCAGCATGCTCTTTCTCCCCCCACGTAAAAGCGACCCCCTTCCGCAGAAAATCTGTCAGTGGCGCCGTTAACCGTGCCATGTCGGGGACGAACCGATGCACATAATTTAATGAACTCTAAAAAACTCTGCAGCTCCGTGGTGTTTGTCGGGGGACGTCACGCTTTTACCGTGACCAGCTTCTTTGGGTCAATTTCAACCCCAGTCCCAAAATAACGTGCCCTAAAAAATTTAACCGGTCCTGAAAAAACTCGCACTTCGAACCCTTGGTCAGTAGGCAGTAAACACTACTAAAACACTGCTTATAAGTCTGCTAAGTGCTGCTACTTGTCGCAGCTGTAGACGAGAATGTCGTCGAGGTAAACTATCACGCATTTATCTAATAGCGGTCGAAATGCCTTGTTCATGGTCATCTGAAATGTCGCAGGTGCGTTGGTCAGCCCGAAGGGCATCACGGTGTACTCGAAGGATCCGTACCTAGTTCTAAACGCCGTCTTGGCGTAGTCCGAAGGTTCGACCCAAATCTGATGGTAACCTCCCCGTAAATATATTTTCAAAAAGACTCGTGCCGTTCGCAGTTGATCGATAAGTTCGTCGGCGCGGGGGATGGGGTTCGCGACTTGACAGTTACCCTGTTCAATGCTCTGTGGTCGATACACATTCGAAACCCTCTGTCTTTTTTCGGTGTGAACAGTATCAGTGCAGCGGACGGTGACGAGCTTGGTCGAATGAACCTTTTCTCTAACAGGTAATCTAACTGCTTCCTCAGTTCGTCGAGCTCCGGTAGTGTCAGTCGAAACTGTCGCTGTACAGTTGGATGTGCCCCTGGTTCTAACTCTACTCGGTGATCGTGCGCTCGCTAAGGTGGCAGTCCCTTCGGTAAATCATTCGGAAAAATTCCTGGGTGCCGTTTCAGTACTTCTTGTAGTTTGGGTGGAACAGCTGCTAGCAGTTTCTGAAAATCCCTTCGGCTGCTCGCGTACACGTCAGCTCCAGCGGCGATAACTCGTTTCATTGTGATGGCGTTGATGTGGACTGTTGAAGTCTTGGGCGACCGCCAGCTAGGTAGCTCGACCCATTTACCACTACTTCGCATGGTACAGCTACCCGTCGTCCAGTCAATTCGCTGGTTGAAGCGTCGCAGTAAAATGTCGTGCCCATCCAGTGTCGTCGCGAGCATTTCCTAAGTAAACCCAAAGTTCGCCCCGCAGCGAATCTTCACTCTCTCCACTTTTTCCCGCATGGCCACCGGTGTGCCGTCGACTAAGTGTGCGTCGATCTCAGGTAAGCAGTGGCTAAGTGTCAGTTGGATTCTGCATGTACTTGCGGTATTAAATATGCTGTGACTTGCTCCTCTGTATATGAGATCTTCATTGCTGTCCCCTTACTCATCCGAGCCCGATCGATGGCATGAATCGGTACGGTGACTCGGTGAGGGTCGGTAAGGTTGCGCGAGCAGATTGTTTCGTTAGCAGTTGGCTCGTTTTCTACTGACTGCTGGCGTTTCCCTGCCTCTGAGACTCCCTCCCCTGCTCTGCTCCGCGGCGCCTCAGCTCATGTGGGCATTCACTCTTGCGATGGCCCGGCCTATTGCAAGCAAAGCAGCGCCCCTTAAATGGCGCGGCAGTTGTATTCGCCGCAACGGCGTGTACGGTGGCGTGCTCGATCGGTCCCGAGGGCGATGTCCATAGTAGGACTCCGGTCTCGGTCGACGCAAAATGTCGATTTTCTCAGTGAGTGCGAGAATTTTGTAAAAGTTTGAGAGTTCGCGTAGCATGATTTCGTGCGAGATGTTCGGCTTCATCCCCCCGACGTAATGGTCCACCCACTCCGCCTTGTGCATGTAGCCGACCTGCTCGCATAATGCGAGAAAACCGCTCGTATAGTCTTGAACCTACCCGAGCTGCCACCAAGTACGCAGTTTCTGACGCGTCGAAATCGAAGCTGCGATCGGCTCGAAGTGCGCCCGAAGTCCTTCGCACCACGCATCGCAAGAGCTATACTCGGCGGTTTTGCAAAAAGAACTCCAGGAGACGGCCGGATCCGTGGGCTCTTCCTCTTGCGACGGCGGCTCGTAGGCGCATTGTGACGTCACGATGACTCGCCACCAGTCCATGGCGGGGCCCCCTAGCAGCGAGACAGCATAGCGAATCTTTGTTGCGTCCGACTCGACGTAATTCGCGTCGAAGAAGACGTTCATCATGAAAATTCATGATTGAACCGTTGGACCTCCACGTTGGCTAGGATCGAAGCAGGGCGGGCGCTGCCGCGTGAGCAGCATCGGTGCCCATGACGTCGCCGTTGCCACTCGTTGTTGCAAACTCCATGTGCCGACGGGCTTCGCGAGGCCCCTGCGTACTTAATGCGGCCCTGTTCCTCTCCATGCCGGGCATCGATTGGGCGGCGCCATCACTGGCTGCGCGCGAGCGTTGTCCCACGCTGTCGTGTTACGATGGTGTGCTGGACGAGATGCCGATCGGCTCGTCCGTTTGTGTAGGTGCATTTGCATGTGCTTGTGTTGGTGCTGGTGCATTTGCTGTTGCTTGCTGTTGGGCAGAGTCGTGTTCTACCGTGAGCGTCGCGATTTCGAGCTGCGAATCTTCAAGTTGGCGCACGAGATGGTTGAGCTGCTCCTGCGTCAACGTCGCAAGGGTGAGTTTAGCCATGGCGGGGGTGTCGGGCAAACTCGGCAAAAAGCCTCTATTGTGGCCGTGCGTGCTTACCAGGGCCAAAAATTGGTTTTGGCCCACCCTGTCAAATCAGAGTTCCAGGGTGGGCCAACCCTGACTCCTAGGGTAAAAAATCTCGTACGTTGATGGAAACAGGGTAAAAAAAAAAAATTCAGCTGCTTATGTGTTTAGTCACTGATAAAAGTTGAACTGAATCATCGCCAGTTAAAGTGTCTCATTAAGTTGGAGGTGTTGTTGATATTGGTAATGTTATGGGTTCGATGCTCACGTGCGGGAATTACTGGAGAAAACTGTTCGCTGGCGCCATTTTGCGCAGCATCCACCGTTTCCTTGCTACGAAAGACTCAATATCAGTGTAACGGGGTTGAAACACTGATGAAAGTCAGGAAAAACAATCGCTAACTCGGACATCATAAGGGTACAAAATTTCAAACCCTTTTCGAGTCAGAGTAAAAAATCAAGGAGGCTGACTAAGTCAGGGTACCCCCAAAATAAGCAGCTGCCAGGCAGGGCAATCATGGTATTTTACACTGACATTTTGGGGTCTAGTGCTTACGAGAGAGCACTTTGAGCGGCGCTTGTTCGCGGAGAGACGTCTACCTGTCAGAATCCCAGTCACTAACCACTGGGATAAAAGGGCTTGTTTATATAGCGGGTGAGTGCGCCCATAACCCCCCAGGCCGACGTGCCTGTAACCCTTCCCTAGGATCATCGAGGATCCCCAGTGGACCTCTGACACCCCCCCGCACTGGGATGCCCGAAGTGCACACACCGGGAATCGAACCCGAGACCTTCGCTCTGATACCATGTCAGAATCCCAGTCACTAACCACTGGGATAAAAGGGCTTGTTTATATAGCGGGTGAGTGCGCCCATAACCCCCCAGGCCGACGTGCCTGTAACCCTTCCCTAGGATCATCGGGGATCCCCAGTGGACCTCTGACACTACCCCCTCCAAAAGTAGAGATTGTGGGGAAGCGAAGGTGCGGGTGCTGTGTCAAACATATATGCTGGATATTGTCTAGGCTGTAGTGGGGTAGCCCATATGGGGTACAGCCCAATTAGGGTTTACTACTTGTACTCCTGCATGCTGCTAGTTCATTCATTCCTGCTGCTAGATTCTGACATGGTTTCAGAGCACTAAGGTCCGTAGGACCGTTTTTTTTTTTCGGGCCCACCTACCGCTGCGGTTACCGCGCTACCCCACGTACCTGCCTGCCTTGCCTTGCCTTGTGACGTGCTGCACTATGTGCGCCGTC